GAGAGGCCGCTATAGCCGCCACATAGACTTTGAGCGTGGATAGGGAACATCCCTTATCCAGCAGCTCTTGTAGAAATGACAACACCTCTGCCAATTCGGACGTGAGGGGGTCTTTGCTGCGGTTTAGACACCAAGTGGAGAAAAAAGACCACTTTAAGGCATAGAGGTGTCTCGTAGACGGAGCTCTAGCCTCCGAAATTGTGTTTAAGACTCGCTCTGGGAGGCACGAAGGCTCCCGTCGAGCGGCCAGAGGTGCAGGGCCCATAGGTCAGGCCAAGGATACCATAATGCCCCATTCGCTTGAGAGAGGAGATCCTGTCTCAGTGGAGCAGGCCAAGGGGCCCCTATCAGTAGCTGGGCTAGCTCCGATAGCCACAGCTGGTTCATCCAAAGGGGGGCCACCAGGAGAACCTTGTGTTCTTGTTCCCTCACTCGCCTGATTACCTGAGGGATCAGAGTGATCGGGGGAAAAGCATAGAGAAGGAGGTTGGGCCAATCGTGGGCCAACGCGTCCCTGGTCTTTGAGAAATAAATTTGGCAGTGAGAGTTGTCTTCTGAGGCGAAGAGGTCTACCTCGGCCTCGCCGAAGATGCAGTTGATGTGGAAGCCTTTTTCCGCCTTCGACCAGTGGCCGAAGGTCGGTATGCCCTCGCACAGCACCTCCCAACCTGAGTTGGAGGCATCTGTTGTGATAACTGTCCTTCTGTGAACCATCCCCATGGCCACGCCCTGTTCCATCCAGCGGGAGTTCTTCCAGGGGGTCAGGGCCGATACACAGGCCTGACTCACCCTGATATGCAGGCGTCCGTGACGCCATGCATGGGCTGGAACCCGTGGTTTCAACCAGCGCTGAAGGGGGCGCATACGCAGCAGACCCAACTGTAGCACTGGAGATGCTGCTGCCATGAGGCCTAGCCTCCTTTGAAACGCTTTGAGAGGGCGAGTGGTACCGATCTTGAAGGAGGTCGCCAGCTTCTGTATGGCCAGAGCTCATTCCGGCGTGACTACAGCTTTCATTTGGGCTGAGTCGAAAATTGTTCCCAGGAACAAAATTCGCTGGCTGGGAAGCAAAATTGACCCTGAGTCCCAGGCACTCCAGGTGGCAGAGGAGGAGGGTTCTGTGAGATATTAATTCTGCCTCTGACTGGGCCAGAATGAGCCAGTCGTCGAAGTAATTGATAATATGGATTCCCATCTGTCTTAGAGGGGAGAGAGCCGCATACCCCCCTGTGAGCGTCCTTGCTCTGCACTGAGGTGGGGACCACGCCGCTGAATCGCGGGGGTCTTCGAGCGAATTGGAGTGAATATCATTGCTTTATTATCCCCATAACCCATCTCGACACACCGGGGATGGCCTGCCAGGCCTCGGCCCGTGTGACGAGGGGTTCAATTAACTCGGGTGACTGGCCGCACGGGGGCAGAACACTTACGAGTAATGGAAGAGGAAGTTTGCCCTCTCAAAGAGCTGCGTGGAGAGTGATGCAAGCGGGGGCCTTGCTGGCTTTAATCACTCAAGCACACACAAATGTGAAGCTGCCCACGTTTCGCTTTGATCCGCCTGGGAGGATTAAGCTGCTCGTATAATGAGGTGCACCGATCCTCATGTGTAACACATACCGGCAGATTAAGCATGCATGATGTGTGTAGAGGATTGCTCAAGTCTGATCGTTCAACCCGTGAGCTCGTCATTGCTTCCTCCGAGGTAGCTGGGAGGAGAGAAACATGAGCGCGGGGAGGCAGGGCCGCCTTCCGCGAACGAATGGGGGCAGACTGCTTTTGTGGTAAAAGCGGCCCGTGTCTGTGATCGCAGCCATAGTGACACACACACAAATTTGAAGCTGTCAGCGGCAGCATCTGCTCCGATCTACTTTGTAGGATAAAGCCGCTCGATGTAAAGAGGGGCACTAATCCTTTTGTGTGAGACACGAATCGAAGCGCAGCGGGGAGGGCGAGTACGCAGGCTCTGTGTCGGCGTGAGATCGCTCAGACCCGGTTGAGTACGCAGGCTCTGTGTCGGCGTGAGATCGCTCAGACCCGGTTGCTTAGTTCCCAGGCTTCGTCGTTCCTCTCTCTGAGGCTTGCTGAGAGAGGAGAAACGTGAGAGCGGGGCTGTTCAGTGAAAGGCAGTCCGCGAGTGGAGAAAAGCGAGACTCATACTCAAGTGAGCATTCTATCTCAGGCGGTTCGCGAGTGGAGAAGAGCGAGACTCATGTTCGAGTGAACATTCTGTCTCAGTAAGCGCGTAGCTCACTGCCCTTCTGCGGCGGATCCGAGTGCAACGGGGAGAGCGAGCACGGGGGTACAGTGCCGGCATGCGATCGCTCAGACCCGGTTGCTTATCTCCCTGACTCTGCTGTTTCTCTCTCCGAGGCTCGCTGAGAGAGGAGAAACGGGAGAGCGGGGCTGCCTCCAGTGGAGGCGGACCGCGAGTGGAGAAGAGCGAGACTCATACTCGAGTGAGCATTCCGTCTCAGTCAGAGAGCAGTCTCTGCGTGGGGTCTGCCCAGACAGATGACATACTCATTGCTCTTCTGCATACTGCAAGTTTACCTGCATGAGCCACACTCGCAGAGCAAAATTTGCAACAACGTCGCTAGAATTTGCTCTTTTAGGGCTTACCTGCTAGAAATAAGCTCTTTTAGAATCGCCGGATGGCGGCAGGGGAAAACGG